GGATTCCTCGCGCGCGCGGGGGGCCCGGAGCTCGCTTCGCGGAAGGTAAGAGGGACGCGACCGAGCCTTCTGGAGCCAGGAAGTGTGAGGAGCGCTGCTCCCACGCCTGTTGCTCCAGCTTCCCACGCGGCACCCTCCCACTCCCGCGCCCGTGTGGGTGGGCGCCGGGGCGCCGGAAGGATTGGGGGTGGGGCTGGTTGCCGTGGGGGAGCAGGCAGCCGGCCCGGGGGCGTCGGTTCCCTCCGGCTGTGGAGCCACCTCCGGGCTGCGAGGCGCTGTGAGGTTTAGGGGTGGGGGTGTGAACCTCTGCCCTCTTTCCATTGGCCTGCCTTCCCTCGGGGGTGCCAGAGGCAGCGCCCCGGGATCCGGCGGCAGGTGGCGACGGCTTGCTCTGGCCCGCTCTTTGTGAGGGAAGAAGGAGAGAAATGGCTGAGAGTGGAACCCGGGAGCGGTTTGGGGCTCTTCGCAAAGTTCTCCAGCCTGGCGGGCCGGCGGTGTGCCTACTAGAGGCTGGGGATCCGAACATCTGGTCCTGCCTGACTCCGCTCCCACTCCTCGAGCTTTGGGAAAGGTCTCTAAGTGACATCGGAGGCCGTCACGGCCCTGGGTGAGAGGTTCGAAAGACTCACTTTGCAAGGTGTTTTTACACTGGGAGTTGGGGACGGAAGGGGCCGGGCATCGAAGTTACCTGACATCAACTAAATTCCAACGCTTGCTTCGTGTTGACATTAATCGGGTCCAGGATGTTCTGCTTGTATCCTGGGCAGCCCTGATATGTCAGCAACAGGCTGAGCTTTCAGACCTGGAATCTTATGGCAAAAAAGGCTCCGTGTGTTCCTTAAGCAAGAGCGTCTGAACTTTCTCCGGGTCCTAAGCACAAGGCAATCTGCCCGGAAGACCAGGCAGGCGGTTCTGTATTTTGCATGAATGTATGTGATGGTTAAATTGATGCCTTATTTATCATTACTTCAAGGGAAACTGCATGCTTCATGTCTGTAGCGAGGGCTCCCGGGAGTGCACGAATTCACTGTGAGGCATGTGTGCGTTTCCTTGGGTGGACACGTTGGCACAGGAAGGGAACTGCTGTGTTTGTTTTTCCTTGTCTACTTTATACAACAGAATGTAGGTACAAAAGGGACCCCCAGAGGAGGAAAGATTAGTAGCTTGTTCCCTCTTACTGTTGAGGAAGCTAGAGAAAAAGAGTTCAGGAAAGTGCCCTGGCCAGCCTAGGAGTGGCACTGTCGGAGAAGAGGATCTGTGTGAGCCCTAGGTCTGTGTCCCATGGATCTCCAGCTTGATTCGCCGTGTCAGTCTTATGCCTGTGACCCAAATCTTGTGGACACAGGAGAACCCCCCGGATGGTGAGCACTTTCCCCTGCTCTCAGATAAGCCCCATTCTGGGCTAAGGGACATGTTGTGAGATTTAAACTGGTGCAAAGGAAGTTTCCAAGGACTCTGCACTGAGGGACATGAGGTTTTTACTGTCTCGAGCCTGTGCTCAAAGTGGTTGTCAAACCCCAGGATAAGCTGGTCACTCTGCCTCCTTTCAGCCCTCTCCCTCCTAGACAAATAGGTGCAGCTTAACAGGAAAGCTGACTTTGGAACAGAGGAAAACGTGTCCCTTTTTGAGGATTTTTTACCTTTGTCATTTCAGTGCTCACCTGTTTTAAATGTCTCTTTCCTAGTGCCACCCGCTCCCTCATCTTTCCCACTGTCAAACTCTTCTGCCAAAAGCAAAAATAGCTTCCGAGTTTTCATTTGTGAGGCGTCCACGTCCTAGTAAAACCTTGGCATTTGAGGCATGTGCAGTGTCATTGGCTGGAAATGGGGCCGCACTGTTGTGCCTGTTGCAGGCATTCATACCCGGCTGGCTCCAGGTGGTATTGGTGCCCATCACGGGGAGAACTCTGTAGTATGAACCATGGAGAAGCCCAACTTGAGCCAAGTCATGGCTACGGGTTTGGGTAGTGGGTATGGCTGATGTGCCCTGGGCATGGAGGGAAATTTGTCCTCTTCCAAACCCAGACTCGCACATACATACATACACAGAACGTAGCAATGGGATAATTGCCTCCTTTTTTGGGAGACTATTACCAGGTGACACATTCTGAGCCTCTGGAAAAGAGGCTGGCATTTGCCTGGCCTTCTTTATGAAGGTTGTCCTGGATTAATGCATGGGATAAATGTTTGGCCTTGGAACCAGGGACTTTTCTGATAGGTCGGGAGGGGTTATTTTTTCTAAAAGAAGTTTATTAAAAACGTGGCCCTCAGAAAAGAGGCTGGCCTGGAGTGGAGAGGGTTAAGGATGGGACTCGGGTTGGCAGGGGTAGGTACTGGGCACTGAAGCTCAGGAGCCAGGGTGGAGCAACACAGAGAGAATGGAAGAAGAGTGTTGTCTTCTGAGTGTGCCTTCACAGTACCTCCTGGTTCAGCAAGCTCCGACTCATTGCCTTTTGAACTCCTTCAGGGACCTGACTCTCTGAGCTCCATACTAGGATAAGGCAGAAGTACTAGGGCCAGAGGTCTAGGATTCTTGGACTGGGAGCCTGGCCCCCTTCATGCAACAGTGGTCTTGTCCATGAGCCAGGTCTCAGACTGCCTTGGGTTCTAAGTGCTGCATTTGTATGCCTATTCTACCAGTCTCGTCAGGAATTCCCAGAATTCCCTTTGTGAAGCTGAGGCTCAGGGTAACTACATCCCCACAGCAACAGGCCCCAGATGCTCTAGTTCTCACTTGGCCTGGCTGTCTATCATGAAGAGGTTTCCGTAAGACCTGAGCTACAGCCTTGATAGCCATGGTCTAGTAGAATCCGGGATTATTTGAGTCGAAGGGTCCCTTGTCACTGTCTCATCCAAGGCTCTCATTTTACAGATGAAGACTCTGAGGCTCAGAGGGTGACAGTGGCTTGCTTTCACAAGTCCAGGATAGAATTGAAACTGGAGTGCGGGCCTTCTTGTGCCCTTCTTTGCTGCTTGGGGAAGGCAGGACAGGGAGTCTGTGCATCCTATTCTTTTCTGCTGAGGACATCAGTGTTTAGCTACACCTAGATCAGGAAAGCTATTTGGCAGCGAGCTGATCAATGGTCTGTTTGCAAATCACCAAGTCCTATGTAGTACATGAAATCTGGTCACTTTGGAGGAAACATTCTCTCAGTATCCTTACCTGTCACCTGTGGGCAGAAATGCCTCTGACAGCATTTTCGAGGGAATAGTTTAAAAGTTGTGTGTCTAAGTACCTAGGACAGTGCCCAGAGCCTTGTCAGTATTCAATAAAAGTTAACTAAGTCTGAATCGAGCCATCTGTGATGTTTAAATTGTAGACTTGCTTCCCAAACATCACTTGTCCCTTAGAAAACCTAGTTAAGTATGTGCCGAGGGACTACAAAGTCTCCTAGTCCTAAAGACAGTGCAGTTAGTTATAAGGGTACATGTCTGGAATAAAGATATAAAATGTGTTTCCGAATCTTTCATCAGTGGCATGTGGATAACCCACTGCCACGAATAATGGCACCATCCCCATTCTTTCCTCTGTTCTCTCGGTTGCCATAACCAAGAGCTCATCAGGTCTGTGCTGTTTTTCTATTCTCTGAGTGGTGACACTTACAAGAAATATCATTGTCATCCCTGTTGTGTTCTATAGCGTCTGCATCAACCTGCCTTTGTTAGGGAGCAGAGGTACCTGTGAAAATTCCCCTTTGCGTGTAGAGGGGAAACTGAGGCAAAGATCAGTCCCTAGAGGAAACCTGACTGAGTGTACAGTGAGTCGGAGGACACCCTTGAACTGATTCAGATCTGTCTTCAAATGAGTTCGAGGACCTGGTGGTACAGTACACAGCACTACCTTCCAGGTTGTGGTAGAAAAATTGAGGCGTGGTGGCCTTTGCCTTTAAAAAGCTTGGTGTAGAATGACCTGGCTGTACCCTCGAACTCCACCTTGAGGCTGCGTGAATTTACATCTCTCGGCCTTATTGCATCTTTTAGATGATTATCACAAGTCCACCTGCTTCACCTTCTCATCTGCGAACAAGGACTACGGTGGCGTTTACCCCACAGGTTGTTGGTGAGCTCGTTGAGATGCTCCATGTGCACAATGGTGCTTGACCTGGCACACAGTCAGCCCTTCTGTTGCTTTTGTGTTGTCTGACTGCTAGATTTCAGTGAACCTTAGTTTTACCCATCCATGAAATGGGGAACATGATAGTCTCTTTTTCCTAGGGTTGCTGTGAAGATTAAATAAGATAACCCACGGGAGACAGTGCAATGCCTTGCACAGAGTAAGTGTTCCATTATTATTGGTCATTAATATTAATATAATGTGTACAAAGTATCTGTAATTCTGGTCAGAGGGTGATGGGTGCTAGAGAAGAGGGGTAAACAAAGTGCTGAGAGCCCAGAGAAGGAGAGAGACTCATAGTGGGGAAAGAAGGAGGCATCACGAAGAGACCGATGAGCAGGCAGGTGTCTCGTAGGACGGTGAGGGGGAAGGACATGCCCGACGGAAGGAATGGTGGCCATGAGCCCGTCTGTGGTCTTGTTGTTAGAGGCTGGGATGGGTATATGGGTCCTTGGGCTGGAATATTAAGCCAGGATCCATTTGAGGAAGTGCCAGGATGCCAGGCCAAGGAGTTTGGACTTGTTATAGGTTGTGGAGTACAGCACAATCAGGACCTTGCTTTGGGGAGATTACTGTGAGCAGAATGAATTTCAGGGGAATGAAAGAAACAAGGTGGTGGATGAGAGTGGGAGACAAAAAGGTGAGTGGGAAGGAGGCTGGAGGGAATCTGGGCCTTCATGAAGGCAGTGTGCTAGGGTATCATGATATGACAACTCTTTAAGGGATGGGACAACAAGAAAAATAGTCCAGGTGACAGGCCTGTGCTTAGGGATGCCATGAGCAAAAGTGAAGAGCGGCTTTTGCAAGGAGAGCAGGTGGGCTCTGTTTAACCCTGTCCAGCTTCAGAGGCAGCTAGATGGGGAACTGCAGGGACAGCTCAGGGGTGAGAGGAGGAGAGAGGGGCTGTATGAAAGACTAGAAGAGTTGGGAGTCAGGAGACAGTGAAGCGGGTTTACAGGGAGAGATGAAGAACAGATCCCATTACGAGTCGGTGTAACAGAATAAAAAGAAATCCCAAGCCTCCCCACGGCCTCACTTATTTAAACACAGAGTCAAACCAACTAAATTCCATAGGGTCCAAATAATTCCGAGTTAGGATTTGTTCTGTGCGATCAGTTTGGGATTAGTAGAGATGAGTGTGTCAACCCCAAACAATTTCCTGTTGCTGTTACGTGTATTTCTGTGTCACCACATGTCTTCCCACAGATGGTATACATTTGGGGATTGCAGAGTCATTTCACTATCATTTTTAAGCCAGATTTGGGAAGGTAAATCTGTTTCCCGAAGCCAAATATAATTCTCCATGTCACTGTTCCCTCCGTCCACGCAGGTGAAGGGGAGTTGTGCTCGAAGTGGGTTCAGGAGGTTGTGGGTGAGGAGGCAAGGAGGTCCAGCTCTGGAGGACTCTCCGAGGGTGGAGTGGGGGCCAGGTGAGAGAGGCTGGCATGGCAAAGAGTATTGTTATATAACCCATGGGAGCTAGGGATGGTGGGCAGATGGAGACAGGAGGCGAGGAATCTAGGGATGGCAGTAAGCATGGATCAGCTTCCTCTGAAGAGAGAAGGACAGTATGTGATAGTCAGGTGAGCCGAGAATCCAAGACTCCTTTCACAGAGTGGGGGAAGAGACCCAGCTCAACCTCACCCTTACATGTCTTTCCACTGTGGCTCCGAGGGATGCAGCTGGACACTAGGCTGCTAGACAGGGAGTGGAGACCAAGTGTCCCACAGAATAGAACTGAAGGCTTGTCCGTTCAGCCTTGTCCGTGGGAGTTAGGGACAGAGCTTCTCCAAGCCCTGGGACTGCTATGGTCACCTGCCATCTCAGAATTTTCTAGACATGGGCAGCCCCAGCTCTCTCCTCCCCAGGGAGGAGTAGAAAGAATGTTTACCTGATCTTCTTCTTCCACGCCCCCTTCTTGATTACCCTGGTGGGTGAAGAGTGAAATAAAAATTAGCATGTTTATCCCACTTTTAAATTCATTTAATGAGAACTCATTTACCCTCTCCCAATTTAAATTCGTAATAACGCCATAACCTTTCAGAGCTGATTATTACCCACGACTTTCCAGATCTTCCTGCTAAAGAGGCTTTCCCTCCAAATGCTCCTGAGCCCCGTTGGAACTGGAGAGTTTGTCAGGCAGTCAGCAACTTCTGGTGATCCCGCCCTCTGCCCTACCCAGTGCTAGGTGCTCTCCCTGCGACAGAGGGTGGAACAGACTCGCGTCCCCTGGTGGTGCTGATTTCAGTTTTATCAGTTTGTCTTGGAGACTTTTGCCATCGCTCTCTCCAGTGACCCTTCCCTGCGTCCTATTCCTACCTGCAAGCCTATATGGACTCACTGCCTTCTCTGCTCTCTCCTCCTATCTCCCAGGGGTCGCTGAACTAACTCCAAGCTGGTGTGCCAAGTGTCCGGGCAACTGCCGGCCCAAGAGCTGGAGTCGCCATGGCGGCCGGAGTTGCAGCCTGGCTGCCTTTTGCTCGGGCAGCT